AGTCCCTTCTGTCTCCTCTGTGAACACTTCTTTGAATCTCTTGTTGAGTTCTTCACATACTTCACGGTCATTTCCTGTTGTCTCTCCTCCTTCCTTCTTAGCCTGATACCTGGTCCTTGACTGTTGTTTTCCTCCTGATGTGGCTGTACAACAGTTTCGGGTCAGATTTGGCTTTCGCTGCTATGTCATTTTCATATTGTCTTTGGGCCTCCCTTCTTATCTGTGCATATTCGTTTCTGGCTCTACGACTGTTCTCTTATTCTCATGGGTCCTTTGCCTTCTATATTTCTTCCATTCCCTAGCACACTTGGTTTTTGCCTCCCTGCACCTTTGGGTAAACCATGGGCTCATCCTGGCTTTTTCATTACTCCTGTTACCCTTGGGTACAAACCTCTCCTCAGCCTCCTTGCATTTTGTTGCTACATATTCCATCATCTCATTAACTGGCTTCCCTGCCAGTTCTCTGTCCCACTGAACCCCGTTCAGGTAGTTCCTCATTCCTGTGTAGTCCCCTTTCTTGTAGTTTGGCTTCATTCGTCCTGGCCTTCCTGTGTGTGTGTATGTGTGTGTGTGTGTATGTGTGTGTGTGTATGTGTGTGTGTGTATGTGTGTGTGTGTGTATGTGTGTGTGTGTGTATGTGTGTGTGTGTGTGTATGTGTGTTGTGTGTGTGTGTATGTGTGTGTGTGTGTGTGTGTGTGTATGTGTGTCTGTGTGTATGCGTGTGTGTGTATGTGTGTGTGTGTGTGTTTTGTGTGTGTGTGTGTATGTGTGTGTATGTGTATGTGTGTGTGTGTATGTGTATGTGCGTGTGTATGTGTGTGTGTGTATGTGTGTGTGTATGTGTGTAGTTGTGTGTGTGTGTATGTTGTGTTGTGTATGTGTGTGTGTGTATGTGTGTGTGTATGTGTGTGTGTGTGTATGTGTGTGTGTGTATGTGTGTGTGATCGAAAAAACTTAAAATCTAGCTGATGATGAAAGTATTTTCTTTTTGGGGATTTTCTTTCTTTTTTGGGTCACCCTGCCTCGGTGGGAGACTGCCGACTTGTTGAATATATTATTATATATATATATATATATATATATATATATATATATATATATATATATATATATATATATATTTATATATATATATATATATATATATTATTTATATATATTTATATATATATATATATATATATATATATATATATATATATATATATATATATATATATATATATATATATATATATATATATATCGTGCCGAATAGGCAGAACTTGCCATCTTGGCTTAAATAGCAACGCTCATCTTGCCATATAGGACAAGCGAAAAATTGTGTATGCAATAATTTCGCCAAAATCATTCTGAACCTAACGAAAAAAATATACTTGACTGTGTTTGTTTAGTATTAAATTATTGTAAACAAATCTAAAATATATTTAGTTGGGTTAGGCTAAAATAAATTGTTCTTGTTATGATAAGGTTAGGTAAGTTTTCTAAGTTCCTTTTGGTGCAAAATTATAAATTTTTACATCAACATTAATGAATTTATTTTGAAATGTATCTTGGGACGAAGAATAATAAAAGCTGTCACTGATAAAATTTTTCACCTTAACAGATGAACCAGCTGTTGTTCCAGGTGGTGGTCCCCGACCACTGGTGTCACGTGCAAGGCCGGGAGACCTCAGGACTGGACTGGGACCAGTGGCGAAACCTCACGATTCCCAGGTATGTTTGGTCAACAACTCAATCGAGTGATTTCTGTTGATTTAATGTGTGCTGCATATATGAATAATTAAAGACAGTGATAAAAACTATGGTAACCATTTTTGATATATTATTATTATATTAATATTATTGCTGTTATAGACATTATTGTAATTATTATTATTGTTGTTCATCACAGGTGGAACAGTTCCACAGGCTACTCCAGCTGTCTCATGTACCAGCTGGCACAGAGTGAAGGCACCTCTCGTAATATTTCTCATAGCACTCAAACACAAGGTAGATTTATATTTATTATTATTATTGCTATTAATTACAAATGCTCCCAGGGAGCTCACTGGTCAGAGACACTGCCACTATTAGAGGACGGTGGATGAAGCCTTCACCACTTCTTGGCCTGAAGAAGCCTTTTATAGCTTCATCACAAACAGTGAAGTCGAAACAGGAAGCCATATTTAATTCCATGTTTCCGTGTTCCTGTCTCTCAAAGACTGTTAAAATACTTTACATTTAATTCTTATTTCGTTACACAAAGGAATTTTACTTGTCCTCTCTTTATACGGATCGTATTTGATGCCTCACATCCCTCAGTGTCTCTATAACCCCAAAACACATTAGCAAGTGTTTGCTTTCATATAGTTTGCAGCAGTGGGTGGGACTTCGACTCGTCTCAGTTCGAGGCTACGTTAGCCACTACCAACGGCTGGTTCTGTGAGAAGGCGATCTTCTTACAGCATGTGCTGGCTCTCAACATGGTTGGCAATGCTCTTGGGACACTCGTTCTGCCTCACATCGGTGATAAATAGTGAGTTCTTTGCTTGAGGTCTCAGTTTCCGGAATATGTGGTACCTGTGACTTGGGAAAAGTGGTATGTGTGTGTGTGTCTGTGTGTCGTGTGTGCGTGTATCGTGTGTGTATGTGTAGAGTGTGTCAAATTCCGCCTTCCTTGTGTAGTGAGATACAGGCTGCTTTGCGTACGCCCTCTAATCCATTTTTCTCTGTGAGAGGCTTCTGCTAGTATTTTGTGTCAAGATCTAACAACCAGGAATTGCAGGTTGTTCCAGCGGGTACATCACTCACGAAATCTTAATAACACAATCGCGAGTGGTGAGGCAATGCATGTCTTACAGCATAGTCAGCATTTTCGTTAGGTGCATTTATGTAACTTTTATTGTACTAGGTCCGCATGCAGCCGTTCAGAGAGAAGTCTTAATTATTATGATTACTGAAATTATAGGCAACTGGGTAGCACAAAGTAATTATACAATATGTACCAAGTTACCTTCAGGTGGTGTAGACATAGGAGAATTAGTTCTTCATTTGTCACCACGGGAAGAAAAGTTATTCTCATGGAGTGGCCAATGCTGCTGTGGTTGCAGGTGTGTTTACTGTCATCGTTGAGCTGGACCAGGATTAATTATGCATTACAGGTGTTAGAGATGCCTTCTGTAATTAAGGTATTTTCTGTTTTACTCCTGAGTAAATAACTTTTTCTTTGTAATTTAAAAGACTAGTGAATAAAGCCAAAGAATTGCTTTATTACAAGTAATCTTGTAAGAGTATTTGTTTACAGAAAAAACAAAGAGGCACAATACCGTGACTGGAACAATACACAAATAACCCGTACGTAGGAGAGAAAGAGAAAAGCTTATCACGACGCTTCGGTCCGACTCGGACCATTCACAAGCCAGACTGACAGAAGAGAATTGGTGAGCCAGTATATTTATATATATAACTCACTCATTCTCTCCTACCAGTGTGACTTGCCAATGATTCGTGTCTGCCGAAACATCGTCATAAGCTTTCTTCTCCTCTATGTGCGGGTTATATGTGTATTTGTTTGTAAATGTGCATTAACTAATGCTGCAACGAGTGGTGATAATGGTGCACTAACACTGTGTTATAGTTTGTGTAACTACGCAGTGTGTGCAAATATGTACGAATGAATGCACTAGCGAGTGATAATAGTGGTGGTGCAACTATGCTGTGTGTTGCAGCCTGGGACGGAGAATGATCCTAAGAATATCTCTGGTGATCTACATCGTCTTCACTGTACCTCAAGTGTGGATCTCTAACGCCAGCCTCCATATGCTACTCAGGTTCCTTGCTGGTTTCGGCAACCATACCTACAACCTCGTACCTTACGTCATTGGTAACTAAATAATAATAATAATAATAATAATAATAAAATAATAATAATAATAATAATAATAATAACGATTAGAAAATAATGATAAGAGTTTGCTTTGGGTCATATTAGAATGATAAAATTTGTTTGTACTAGAAATGTTTGTATTAAGTGTTGGTGATTTATTTTGTACTGGATATTAAAATGTTGGAGAATATTTGCATTACGCTCACAATCGCTGAAATATTTTTATATTATATATCAAAAAATAGATTAAATATTTACCACAATTTTCAGTGTTGGAGGGAGTATTTACTATATATTATAGAGTTGGAGAAGTATTTTTTCATATGTTAGTGTTGGAGGGAGCATTTACCACAAATTACAGTGTTGGAGGGAGTACTTACCACAAATTACAGTGTTGGAGGGAGTACTTACCACAGATTACAGTGTTGGAGGGAGTATTTACCACAAATTACAGTGTTGGAGGGAGTATTTACCACATAATATAGTGTTGGAATGTGTATTGACCACATTTTCCAGTGTTGGAGGTGATTGCGAGTGGGCGTCGCTCCCTCACCACAGCATTGTTCTACGGAGCCTGGACCACGGGAATGTGTTTCACAGCGCTGGTGGCGTTCCTTGTTCCTCACTGGCAGTACCTAGCTCTCCTCTCCTGCCTTCCACCCCTCATCGCTTTACTCCTGCTGAGGTGAGTGGGCCTTGATATTGTGGTGAGTGGGCCTTGATATAGTGGTGAGTGGGTCTTGATACAGTGGTGAGTGGGCCTTGATATTGTGGAGAGGGGACCTTGATGTTGTGGTGAGTGGATTTTGATATTGTGGTAAGTGGACCTTGATATTGTGGTGAGTGAGCTTGATATTGTGGTGAGTGGGTTTTGATATTGTGGTGAGTGGACTTTGATATATTGGAGAGAGGGGGCCTTAATATTGTGGTGAGTGGGCATTGATATTTTGGAGAGAGGAGGGCCTTAATATTGTGGTGAGTGGACCTTGATATTGTGGTGAGTGGGCTTGATATTGTGGTGAGTGGGCATTGATTTAGTGGTAAGTGAACCTTGATACTGTGATGAATGAGCCTTGATATTGTGGTGAGTGGGCATTCATATTGTAAAACCTCAAGCATGGATTGGACACACTGCAAAGCTTAAAGCATTTATTGGACACCCTGTAAAGCTTTAAGCATTTATTGGACAGGAACACTATAAAGCTTACAGCATTGTTTAAACACACTTGTGGGAATTAGTTAATATCTCTTCTGCGGTTCACTCATCTCTTATCATCTCATTTTTTTCTACACAGATTAATTCCGGAGTCACCTCGCTGGTTGATCTCTAAGGGACGTGTGGAGGAGTGTATCGATATCCTGCTGCAGGTACAGTGCAACTCCCCAGGTTTATTTTCAAAAAATCTGTTATAAAAGTTATGTATCGTCTAAGGAGTCATCCTCGTTTGTCATAATGTTTTGATAGTAAAAAAAAGTTCTTGTAGATTGGTAAGCAAACGGCAGGCCTCGGGTAGATGACCAGAAGCTCCAGCTGCGCGTCATCGTGTGACTATGACCCGGGTCATAGTCCCGTTTCCTGACATACCTTACCTAACTTAAGCTTATAGTAATTCAGTAAACATTTGATTAAAGTGCGTAATGGTGAATCGAATTCGCGGTCTAAAACTTCCACTCTGTCAGGTTAGCCACGAGACTGGATGGCAGTTTTAGGAAGCAAATTCGACACATGATCACTCAGATTAATTATTATATTCTTTCATTACGAATTTTCAGTGCGTAAACTAGCATGACCGATGACGGAAAACTACTATTTAAAACAGATGAAGAACGAGTACCTTAACATCAATCCTCAGCTGGAAACCTGTGTAAACGCACAGTGGGCCATAAGCACGAACTGCGAGGATCCAACTCAGCAGATGAAAAGGATCTTGCTTGGAGATTGTAATATATAACTCTTTATATAAGGGGTGTCTCCTAGGTGTTTACTCAAACGTGATCATACATGAGCTAAGAAAATCCACATGGAGACAGAAACAGTGTAGAAACTGTACATATCGATCTCACTACTAAAGATGATCTCACACAGACACCGAAATATACAGTCCCTTTTTACACTGTTACCAGATGTCCATTACACTTTGATGTTTCATAGTCAATATACATTTTCAGAAATTCTATATCGTGCGTTTATTTCATCGTTATTGTAATTAGCTTAATTCAGTATTCATACAGAATTTCGCATGACCGTGAACGGATTTTCTAAATTATTTAGCTAAGTGACAAAAATAGCTCATGATATCTCAATAAGTAAAACTCTTAGCTTGTACAATTGAAACGTTTAAAACACATTGTTTTACACCATTTGTTTTAATTTAACTCTGTTGACTCTAGAAAAAGGAACGTGAAAAAGAAAATGATTGTGTGAATTGAACAGATAGCGATGACCAACGGGCGAGATGGAGGTTTCAAAGGAAGGTCTTAGAGAGAGTCTAGAAGCCATGTCGCTGAAGCAAGAGGAAGAACTGGGCATACATCACGTCTTGCGCTACCCAAGACTCCGACTGAGGACCATCCTGGTGCTGCTCATGGCGTAGGTGCTCTCTAAAAACACCAGATTTTTTTCCAGTCTTCATTTAAGTCCCATACGCTCACATTATCAAAGAATTTCCAAGATTTCTTTTGCTTGTCATCATTCGTCTCCAAGCTACATAAGGGGAAAGTTTTCTTTTGTTTAGCATCATCCGTCTCCCACCTAGATAAGGGGGAAGTTATCATTTGTTTAGCATCATCCGTCTCCCACCTAGATAAGGAGGAAGTTATCTTTTGTTTAGCATCATCCGTCTCCCACTTAGATAAGAGGGAAGTTTTCTTCTGTTTAGTATCATCCGTCTCCCACCTAGATAAGAGGGAAGTTTTCTTTTGTTTAGTATCATCCGTCTCCCACCTAGATAAGGAGGAAGTTATCTTTTGTTTAGCATCATCCGTCTCCCACTTAGATAAGGGGAAAGTTACCTTTTGTTTAGCATCATCCGTCTCCCACCTAGATAAGGGGGAAGTTTTCTTTTGTTTATCATCATCCGTCTCCCACTTAGATAAGAAGGAAGTTATCTTTTGTTTAGCATCATCCGTCTCCCACTTAGATAAGAGGGAAGTTTTCTTTTGTTTAGTATCATCCGTCTCCCACCTAGATAAGAGGGAAGTTTTCTTTTGTTTAGTATCATCCGTCTCCCACCTAGATAAGGAGGAAGTTATCTTTTGTTTAGCATCATCCGTCTCCCACTTAGATAAGGGGGAAGTTACCTTTTGTTTAGCATCATCCGTCTCCCACCTAGATAAGGGGGAAGTTTTCTTTTGTTTATCATCATCCGTCTCCCACTTAGATAAGAAGGAAGTTATCTTTTGTTTAGCATCATCCGTCTCCCACTTAGATAAGAGGGAAGTTTTCTTTTGTTTAGCATCATCCGTCTCCCACCTAGATAAGAGGGAAGTTTTCTTTTGTTTAGTATCATCCGTCTCCCACCTAGATAAGAGGGAATTTTTTCTTTTGTTTAGTATCATCCGTCTCCCACCTAGATAAGAGGGAAGTTTTCTTTTGTTTAGCATCATCCGTCTCCCACCTAGATAAGAGGGAAGTTTTCTTTTGTTTAGTATCATCCGTCTCCACTTAGATAAGAGGGAAGTTTTCTTTTGTTTAGCATCATCCGTCTCCCACCTAGATAAGAGGGAAGTTTTCTTTTGTTTAGTATCATCCGTCTCCCACTTAGATAAGAGGGAAGTTTTCTTTTGTTTAGCATCATCCGTCTCCCACCTAGATAAGAGGGAAGTTTTCTTTTGTTTAGTATCATCCGTCTCCCACCTAGATAAGGAGGAAGTTATCTTTTGTTTAGCATCATCCGTCTCCCACTTAGATAAGGGGGAAGTTACCTTTTGTTTAGCATCATCGGTCTCCCACCTAGATAAGGGGGAAGTTTTCTTTTGTTTAGCATCATCCGTCTCCCACTTAGATAAGGAGGAAGTTATCTTTTGTTTAGCATCATCCGTCTCCCACCTAGATAAGAGGGAAGTTTTCTTTTGTTTAGTATCATCCGTCTCCCACCTAGATAAGAGGGAAGTTTTCTTTTGTTTAGCATCATCCGTCTCCCATTTAGATAAAGGAGAAGATTTCTTCTTGATTTTCAATGGCAATATTATTATAAAATTAAATATGTAAAGGTCATTAAATTCTATTATATTAGGGACTCTTACTTTAATGTTTTTTAACCATAAATATATTAACTCAATAAACGAAACACATTCACAAAACAAAGTACATTCACCATTGTTTACCTCTGGTATATTTTGAATTACAGTGGAACCTAGACAATGTATCCACCTCAGTTATTTCAGTTCAATCCAACCATTAGGTTTAATTGAGCATTTTTCCTCCTCTGATATGTGTTACTTGCAGCTTTCTCTTAGTCCCTGCACAATGTTAATCTTAAATGATAATTGATCCTGATGTTGCTAAAGGCCAGTGGAGTCAAAAATCCGAACATATATTTCTACAGATTTTGTATATACACTACGTACGGTGTTGTGCTGATGGGGATTAATGTGATGCCTAGCAACTACTTCGTCAGTCACTTCCTCTCATCAGTGTTTCAGTTTCCCAGCAACTTGACCGGCTGGGTCAGTATTCAGTACCTGGGTCGTCGCAATACCTGCATTATCGCTCTCACTCTCGCTACACTCTTCTGCATCACTGCCAGTTTTTGCTTACACGGTGAGTCAAAATGAAGGGATTCGGGGAAAACCGGTTACCCGGACTTGAGTCGTGGAGAAGGGAAGAACAATACCTGCACTTCAAAGGAGGTGTTTTGAGATATTGGCTGTTTGGAGTGACGTTTAAATTGTCGTACCTGAGCGCCTCATTCTCGTTTAGGTTACCCTGCCTCGGTGGGATACGGCCAACGTGATATATATATGTCGTGCCGAATAGGCAGAACTTGCGATCTTGGCTTAAATAGCAATGCTCTTCTTGCTATATAGGACAAGTGAAAATTTGTGTATGCAATAATTTCGCCAAAATCATTCTGAACCTAACGAAAAAAATATATTTCACTGTGTTTGTTTAGTATTAAATTATTGTAAACAAATCTAAAATATATTTAGTTGGGTTAGGTTAAAATAAATTGTTCTTGTTATAATAAGGTTAGGTAAGTTTTCTAAGTTCCTTTTGGTGCAAAATTACAAATTTTTACATCAACATTAATGAAAAAAATATATCTTTAAACGTATAAGAGAAAATTTTAGAAAGGGCTTAATTTTAAATGAGTTCTTGCTAATTGACCAGTTTTACATATTCGGCACGACATATATATATATATATAATATATATTATATATATATATATATATATATATATATATATATATATAATATATATATATAATATATATAAATATATATATATATATATATATATATATTTTATATATATATATATATATATATATATAAATAATATATTATATTATTATATATATATATATATGATATTATAATTTTCAACAAGTCGCCGTCTCCCACCGGAGGCAGGGTGACCAAAAAAGAAAGAAATCCCCAAAAAGAAAGAATACTTTCATCATCATTCACACTTTCACCAACTCGCACATTATCACTTTTTTTTTGCAGAGTGCTCAGAATACAACAGTCTGAAGCATTACCCCATATAAAGATACACAACATATCCCTCCAAACTGCCCAATATCCCAAACCCCTCCTTTAAAGTGCAGGCATTGTACTTCCCATTTCCAGGACTCAAGTCGACTATAATGAAAATAACCGGTTTCCTGAATCCCTTCACTAAATATTACCCTGCTCACACTCCAACAGATCGTCAAATATATTATATATATATATAAAATATAAATTATATATATATATATCAATATAATAATAATATATATAAAAAAAATTATGGGGTGAAAATACTTAGCTTTACTTTTGGCACTGTCACCATTGCTTCTTCAGGAGCTTTTTAATGGTTCGGTGAATTGGCTAAGTATCAAAATTTCACACCCAATTTAGGACATGGTTAGTAGTGGGTTATGGATCAAAAGTTAATCCTAGGATCAAGACTTAGACTTCATGCCTTTTTAACCATGCAATGGAGAAATTAATCTGCGTCAAACGTAATTTTTCCTGGCTAATAAGAAACACACCCTCCACCCTTGCTTTATCTGTTGCATTCACCACTACAGACGAGTGGGCGCTGGTGCTGGTAACAGGAGTCCTCAAGTTGTGTTTCAGCATGACGCTGCAATCGATGTTCATCCTGGTGTCTGAAATCTTCCCTACCCCGGTCAGGAGCTCTGGACTCGGCCTTTACTTAGTCTTTGGCTTGTGGCCCATGGCGATCTCTCCGTATATCTTGCACGTGAGTGACCTGTTAATGTCTACTTACCTGTGGTTTATCTGTTAATGCTTTCGGGGTGAACTGCAACCAAGAGGCAGAGGATGAACAAATATGGTCGGGGGTTCATGGTGCTAAATATCCAATCATTATATGCAACACTTCACTCTACGTAGAGCTTTATCAAGTCATGAATGGAATGTTGTCTATAATACAGATTTAATGTGGAAAAAACGCAGTTCAGGACATTTATAACTGAAAACGTTTCGCCACGAGTGACTTCTTCAGTCCTAATACAGAGACAACTAAGAAACGAGCTTATGTACTGGCAGGAATCAGGTGGAAAGCCGCAAGGGTACTACTACTACTACTACTACTACTACTACTACTACTACTACTACTACTACTACTACTACTACTGCTGCTGCTGCTGCTGCTGCTGCTACTACTACTACTATTTCTACTTCTCGGCAATGCTTGCTACCCAACGTGAATCAGTCTGAAATAACAAAGGTAGAGCAAATTCTTGCTGAGAGCTTCTAAAATTGTTACTCAGAAATGAAAATAGTAACCTCAAGGTTCAGGTGACCAGGGACTAACGTAAGGCAACTTCTGCGCATTTACCAATCCGTTTGTTATTATTCTTGCATATTGAATCCTACCTAAGTATTGTAGTGGAATTTAATTGCGTTAATCATGTCTGTTATTGAACATTGTTCCTCAGTGGAACTCGGCCATTATTGACTTTTTTACGATAATTGTAAACTATCTGCTCTATGGAATAGTCATTTCATGTGCAGATTGTTATTTTGGGGAATAATAGCAAAAATGATGCCTTAATTTTGGCCTGACAGCAGTTGATGCACTCGGCCAATCACAGTGATTATAAAGAAACGCCAGTTCCAATTTTACCGATTAAGGAGAAAGTTAGATTTGTTTTTTGTTAAGTTAGGTTAGGCTAAGCTGGATTGCGTTGGGTTACGTAAAGTTACATTAGGTTATGTTGGTTTACGCTAGGTTAATGTTGCGTTTAGTTAGTTTTTCCCCTCGTTTACACGTTGTAAACTATCTTCGTGGCAGAGACAAGTTAATACTGGAAATATTGTATTATATTTTATATCCAAAATACGCCAGACACAAATATTCAATAATAACTGTTTACCATACTTATAAAATTATTGAGGTTTTCCTTACCCTCTCTTTCATATCTGTATTATTGTCACAATGCAGTTTTGCTCTTTGATATTTCATATTACTATTATAATCAAAAAGAAGCGCTAAGCCACAAGGGCTATACAGCGATATTTCATATTAATAACTTATTGCTCTGACAATTATTATATCGTTACTAAGTATAGTTTGATTGAATTGTAATTCGCTTGATTCTTACAGCTTTCATATCAGTAAACGTATTGCAGTGAGATACATGTAACTCTCCTGTATTCATTCAGTAATGAAGCTAACGTAGAATTTAAACTTTACAGTCAGGCACAGGGACCAACTTCCACTACCTGGTGTTGACGGGACTGTTGTTGACCGCTCTCGTCTCCTGCATACTATTGCCGGAGACTCTGGGACTCTCTCTCCCTCAGAGCTTCGAGGAGGCTGAGGAACTTGGCACTGGGAGGCCACTCATTGCCTGTATAAACCACTGGAACCTACACAGGTACACAGTCACCCCATCCGATGACACTGAGCTCTACACAATGCAGATCAGTGACACTGAAACTATGAATATTAGCTAGTACTGAAGGAAATTATCCTAGTACTGCTGAAAGTAATAAACCAAAGAAAAGCTTTCATTGTAAGATTTTTACTGGAAATACTGTGATGGGCTGTACAACGGTATTCTGACATAATTATACAAGACATGCATACATCTCCTTTGTTGATTAAATCAATTTTATGTTATCTAGTGATTATCTAGCCATTGTGCTAATATAGACATATTTAAAGATGGAAAATCATCAAAAGAACAGTGAAAAAAAAGTTTAATTAAAAATTTATTCTAAAACGAACTCAAACTTTGAGTATGGCAGTATATAATTATTGCCTCTCTAAAATAATGACTAAGAATATGTTCCGATCTTTCAGCTAATATAAATGGTGACTAATTTTGTTTGCAGGTTGGTAGAACAGTTCCAGGAAGGTAAATAAATGTGCCCTGGAGTACTTTTGTACACGATTACTCAAGAAGGTCCAGGTAAACACTGACTGTTAAGGGGTATGGGAGATCAGCTAGGTAAACACTGACTGTTAAGGGGTGTGGGTGTGGGAGATCAGCTAGGTAAACACTGACTGTTAAGGGGTGTGGGTGTGGGAGATCAGCTAGGTAAACACTTGACTGTTAAGGGGTGTGGGTGTGGGAGATCAGCTAGGTAAACACTTGACTGTTAAGGGGTGTGGGTGTGGGAGATCCGCTAGGTAAACAATTGACTGTTAAGGGGTGTGGGTGTGGGAGATCAGCTAGGTAAACACTTGACTGTTAAGGGGTGTGGGTGTGGGAGATCAGCTAGGTAAACACTTGACTGTTAAGGGTGTGGGTCTAGGAGATCAGCTAGTAAACACTTGACTGTTAAGGGGTGTGGGTGTGGGAGATCAGCTAGTAAACACTTGACTGTTAAGGGTGTGGGTGTGGGAGATCAGCTAGGTAAAACTTGACTGTTAAGGGTGTGGGTGTGGGAGATCAGCTAGGTAAACACTTGACTGTTAAGGGGTGTGGGTGTGGGAGATCAGCTAGGTAAACACTTGACTGTTAAGGGGTGTGGGTGTGGGAGATCAGCTAGGTAAACACTTGACTGTTAAGGGGTGTGGGTCTGGAGATCAGCTAGGTAAACACTTGACTGTTAAGGGGTGTGGGTGTGGGAGATCAGCAGGTAAACACTTGACTGTTAAGGGTGTGGGTCTAGGAGATCAGCTAGGTAAACACTTGACTGTTAAGGGGTGTGGGTGTGGGAGATCAGCTAGGTAAACACTTGACTGTAAGGGGTGTGGGTCTAGGAGATCAGCTAGGTAAACACTTGACTGTTAAGGGGTGTGGGTGTGGGAGATCAGCTAGGTAAACACTTGACTGTTAAGGGGTGTGGGTCTAGGAGATCAGCTAGGTAAACACTTGACTGTTAAGGGGTGTGGGTGTGGGAGATCAGCTAGGTAAACACTTGACTGTTAAGAGGTGTGGGTCTAGGAGATCAGCTGGGTAAACACTTGACTGTTAAGGGGTGTGGGTGTGGGAGATCAGCTAGGTAAACACTTGACTGTTAAGGGTGTGGGTCTAGGAGATCAGCTAGGTAAAACACTTGACTGTTAAGGGGTGTGGGTGTGGGAGATCAGCTAGGTAAACACTTGACTGTTAAGGGGTGTGGGTGTGGGAGATCAGCTAGGTAAACACTTGACTGTTAAGGGGTGTGGGTCTAGGAGATCAGCTAGGTAAACACTTGACTGTTAAGGGGTGTGGGTGTGGGAGATCAGCTAGGTAAACACTTGACTGTTTAGGGTGTGGGTGTGGGAGATCAGCTAGGTAAACACTTGACTGTTAAGGGGTGTGGGTCTAGGAGATCAGCTAGGTAAACACTTGACTGTTAAGGGGTGTGGGTGTGGGAGATCAGCTAGGTAAACACTTGACTGTTAAGGGGTGTGTGTGTGGGAGATCAGCTAGGTAAACACTTGACTGCTAAGGGGTGTGGGTCTGGGAGATCAGCTAGGTAAACACTTGACTGTTAAGAGGTGTGGGTCTAGGAGATCAGCTGGGTAAACACTTGACTGTTAAGGGGTGTAGGTGTGGGAGATCAGCTAGGTAAACACTTGACTGTTAAGGGGTGTGGGTCTAGGAGATCAGCTAGGTAAACACTTGACTGTTAAGGGGTGTGGGTGTGGGAGATCAGCTAGGTAAACACTTGACTGTTAAGGGGTGTGGGTGTGGGAGATCAGCTAGGTAAACACTTGACTGTTAAGGGGCGTGGGTGTGGGAGATCAGCTAGGTAAACACTTGACTGTTAAGGGGTGTGGGTGTGGGAGATCAGCTAGGTAAACACTTGACTGTTAAGGGGTGTGGGTCTAGGAGATCAGCTAGGTAAACACTTGACTGTTAAGGGGTGTGGGTGTGGGAGATCAGCTAGGTAAACACTTGACTGTTAAGGGGTGTGGGTGTGGGAGATCAGCTAGGTAAACATTTGACTGTTAAGAGGTGTGGGTCTAGGAGATCAGCTGGGTAAACACTTGACTGTTAAGGGGTGTAGGTGTGGGAGATCAGCTAGGTAAACACTTGACTGTTAAGGGGTGTGGGTCTGGGAGATCAGCTAGGTACACACTAACTATTCACCACCCCTTCTTCTCCTCGGTGGACAGTGGGGTAACAGTGTATTTAGACAATCAGCTGCGTGTCAAAGCGGAATATCAGTGCAATCTTAGTGGAAGATTCTGATGTAGGCTGTGTAAATGCTTATTCACAAATCTCAATACAGATTTTGTGAAACTGGTTTTACGAATGGCACTTCAGTTATATGAATGCTCCCTCGTATTAGCAGGTGACTTGAGTCACCAGTTATTCCATCGTGTCACCTAAGGAAGTTATTTATGTAATGAACATAAATTGCATATTAACTTCTCTGGTAGTCCTACTTTTTCACATATATTTTAGTTAAAATTATTAAATTGCATTTCCTTTAATCCCGTAGTTTTTAATTAGTTTTTATGTATTTTACCACTATTACTTAACTATAAGCCTTCTGCACCATAGAGCGAAACGTTACCACCATAGAGGTTTGTTCTCTGCACCTGTGTTCTTTCTTGAGTTCTCCTGTTGTTGGGTTTAGCACAGCCTCTTTCTTTAGCTTCGTCCTCATCTTCGTCCTCATCTTCGTCCTCATCTTCGTCCTCATCTTCGTCCTCATCTTCATCTTCATCTTCTTCCTCTCCTCCTTTCTCTTCTTCTTGAGGACACGTGCAGTCTGCAGCGCCTTCTAACTTGTGTTGATCGCAAGTGTACGACAACTTTAATATTGAATCCTCTCATCAGAGGATTAAGTCCTTATTCAATAGTTTTCAGTCTGTCTTATCGTATTTACATCTTTCATCAACTCTCTAAATACATGAATTATTCCTGTTGTATGACCTCTAGTTACGAGTGTTTCTGTGATTTGAACTCTGTATACGAGTGTGTTCCAGTGATATGTACCTTCTATACGAGTGTTCTTGTTGAACGAGTTCTCTCTTAGAGAATATTCCTTTTATAAGAAATATCTGTTTGGGTAACCAGCTTAAAGACGGTCTATATACGGGTTTTTTATTTATATTAATTGTCGGGTGTTATGTTTATATTGTTGTTAGGTAAGACACATATGCAACAGTTAGGTATCTTTATTTCGAAACGTTTCGCCTACACAGTAGGCTTCTTCAGTCGAGTACAGAGAAGTTGATAGAAGCAGAAGATAATTGAAGACGATGTAATCAGTCCATCACCCTTAAAGTTTTTGAGGTGGTCAGTCCCTCAGTCTGGAGAAGAGTATTGTCCCATTGTCTGAAACGATATGGAGTTGAAGTGATAGGATGGAGCTCCATCCTATCACTTCAACTACCATTTTATTGTTCACTATGTTTATATTAATTCTGTATACACGTGTTCTTATACGATCTTGCTATAAAAGAGTTTTACTAATATTTAACCGAACTATGTAAAGATGGTTGTATTTTAGAGGTTAATACAAATAAAATTAAATGCTCTAAATACAAACAAAATCAAATATATATATATATGTAAATGTATATATATATAATATATATATATATATATATATATATATATATATATATATATATATAATATATATATATATATATATATATATATATTATATATATACATTTATATATATACATTTATATATATATTATATATATATATATATATATATATATATATATAATATATATATATATATATATATATATATATATGTACCTTTATATCTCTGTAATCTTGGCTAAAATGTTTTTAATATATCTGTCAGAATGTATTACAGTTATTACTCAGTCACCTTTCCTTACGACTCCAGCAGAAACACAAGGTTTGGGAGACCTGCTTCACTGTCTTCTTCCATTTTCACTTTCCATAGTTACTTTTTAAGAAATTTTCGGTATTGAAGTTAGGAGGGTATTTATATCTGTTTCAGGTTCTCTCTCTCTCTCTCTCTCTCTCTCTCTCTCTCTCTCTCTTCTCTCTCTCTCTCTCTTTCTTCTTCCTCACTCCCTCCCACCCAACTTTTCACCATCTCCTCTACCCTTCTTTATCTTAATTGAAGCATCATACGCTGGATTGCTTGCTCCTTCACTTATCTATTCCTCCCTGACATTTCCATGCATCTAATTTAAATATCAGGAGGAGCAATAAAGCAAATAGTGTCCCATCTTTGCAAAGAAGACACCTTACTTCAAATATTTTATACAAAAATGTCAATATATATATATATATATATATATATATATATATATATATATATATTATATATATATATATATATATATATATATATATACGTATATAGATATATATATTATTGTGACCACGAACGAGTGGTATTGATCAATAACAACACTGCGACTAGCCAAGGACTCGAATCCATGTCCTTGGGTAGCGAGTACAACATATATATATATATATATATATATATATATATATATATATATATATATATATATATATATATATATATATATATATATATATATATATATATATATATATATCTGGCTTATATTGGAACGTTATTCTTGCCGAATAAGGCAAGCGAAAATTTGTGTATGCAATAATTTCGTAAAAATCACTCTGAACCTAACGAAAAAAATATATTTTACTGTGTTTATTTAGCATTAAATTACTGTAAACTTATCTAAAATATATTTAGTTGGATTAGGCTAAATTAAATTGCGCTTGTTATAATAAGGTTAGATAAGTTTTCTATGGTTCTTTTTGTACAAAATTATTAATTCTTGTATTAAAATAAACGAAAAAATATATCTTTAAACATATAAGAGAAAATTTTAGAAAGGGCTTAATTTTAAATGAGTTCTTGCTAAATTACCAGTTTTACATATATATAACACATATTTTCTTTTCAAAAATTTCAAAATATCTCTTTTGTAAATCTTTTGTGTAATAAGAGGAAAGATTTGGGTTGCTGCCTAAGCAACAATAACAATGGTGGTACATGTTACCTACGCTCGCCACTCATTGTCTCCATA